AGATCTAAATTTACTTTAGCTCATATAATTTCAAATTGAATGATTTGGTCTCTATACTTAAATCTAAATTCAATTTGATCATTCCGTCTAAATTTTTGTTAAATTTTTTCTTCATGTCACCATGGGGACCAAATTATTTAATTTGAAATTAAAGAAACTAAAATAAAATTTGAACCAAATTATAAGAGTGAAAAGTGCAATTAATCTTATTTTTTAGAGTAAATTATACTAACCTTCCCCGATATTTAAAAAAATTATAGTAAACTGCACAGTTTTAACATAAGTACACTAGCCTCCCTTAAATGTTCATTTTAATGTAAAATAGATGATATGTAACTAACAAATTATAAATAAAAAATAACTATGCTCCGTTTGTTTGGGCGAAAAATATTTTCCGAAAATGTTTTCTACATTTGCTGTAAGTACAATAGAAAATGAAAATTAATGGAAAACATTTTTAATAATCAATGGAAAATAAAGTCTACTAAGGAAAAAATATTTTCTACTTTTAAAAGGGGATAAACGTTTTTCGAAATAAAATTTTATCAATATCACCACACCACCACCATCATGGCTACCGCCACCATCACTGTCACCATTATTGTCGTTGTTGCCCCACCACCACCACCTCCACCTCTACCTTCACCTTCACCTTTGTTCCACTACCACTACCACCAAACATAAAAAAAAAAATATTTTCTCTATAAAACATTTTCTGAAAAAAGTTTTTCGTACGCCTAAACAAACCGAACGTAAATGTTTAAATTATACAAAAATTTAATATAATTATGTTAAATTGTAAAATTTATTATATTTTATCCAGAAGGGATGTTAGGTAGTTGATTCTATTTGTCATTAGGTAAATGTTAACAAGTGCTTTTTTAAATATTATTTAAGGTTAGAAATTATTTAAGAAGTGTCTTTAAAATATAAAATAATACATTAATTTTAATAAAAATATATTAAATTTAATAAAAATATATTGCGTTCTACGATTTTTTTTATATTTCACTTGTGTGTAGGGACACTGGTTAAAACTGAGTTATAAGTTTTTTTTTCGTTTTAATGTTTGTGAATAGAATATGTTTGGGGGAATAGAACATTCAGGGTATGTTTGGTTTGTGTTTGAGAGATGTGTTTTAGAGATAAAAAGTACGAAAACATGTTTGGTTTGGACCCTGTACTGTACCCAACACAGCTTGCAATGAAAAATATTATAAATTCTAAATATTTTATTAAATAAATAATTAAATATTTTATATAAATATGAGATTTACAAAATTACAGATCATATACTTATATGAAATATTTAATCAATAATAAAAAATTTAGTATCTTTAGGTGGTGTTTGGTAAATATATTGGGCTAAATAATCACAAAATGATAAAAAAAATCAAAAAATCATAAAAAGTTACGGGGATATATTTTCTGAATACCAACACGTGGCCAAGGTGATGTCGACGTGTCAGCCGAGGTGCCACATGTCCGTGGTCATGACGCCGAGGTGATCTCAGCAAAGCCGAGGTAATCTCCGAAGATATCGGAATCCAAGATAAACGGATAAGAGACAAAAGTCCTAGAATGACGAAGGACTTTGGCATAGATAAAGATAAAACTTTTAGGGAGTTTATCTTTATCTTTTGAAGATATCGGAATCCGAGATAAACGGATAAGAGACAAAAGTCCTAGAATGACGAAGGACTTTGGCATAGATAAAGATAAAACTTTTAGGGAGTTTATCTTTATCTTTTGAAGAGTTCAAGATAAGCACTGAATAAGAATCCATTAAAACTAGGCTTCTAGTGGGACAAGGATTGAGTTAATTATAAAAGAGAGGCACCCTCATAGGTCTAAGGTACGCAATTTATATTCTGAATAGTGAGTTTAGCACTATTGATTATCTTTGAGAGATATACTGATTTGATCGTCAGAGTGCTCCCGGGTGGACAAATCACTGTTGGAATCTTCTCTTGGGGACAAATCGCCGTCGGAATCTTCTCTTTCTATTGCAGGCCAGCTAAATGGCATCTATTCTGTCAGTATTCTCTAGTTAATTACTGAGTTGGACAGTATGATCAAAAAAATCACTAAACAAAAGTCAAAAATTATAGAAAGATAAAAAAAATTCACTATACTAAAATTAAAAAGTCAATAAAAATATCAAAGGAACAAAAAAATTATAGACTAAAAAAATAAAAAAAAATTAACTAAAACATTGCCAAAAGAAGTATTACCCGATTGCAACGGACTTCACAGGTAATTGACTTCTTACGCATAAAGCCAAAAACCCAAAGATAAGCACGTCTCTCAGATTTTTTCCACTTCACTTTTTCTTTCTCGTTCTTTGAAAATATCTGTCTATTTCTTGGTACTTTTGAAGCAGATTGCCTCTCGCTCTCTCTTTACCATTGCCTTGGATTCGACAAACAGCTCTATTATTGAAGAAAAGCAGTTCCTTTATTGGACTCTGTGCATGTCTTTGATTAATTCTTGATGGGTTTTGGTTGATTTATTTTAAATTTTGATTAGGTATTTGGGTTTTGGCTCTAGTCTCCCCTGATTGGTCTGTAATCTATATTTTTTAGTTTTGGCTTCTGGGTTTTTTTCTTTACCATTGCCTTGGATTCGACAAACAGCTCTATTATTGAAGAAAAGCAGTTCCTTTATTGGACTCTGTGCATGTCTTTGATTAATTCTTGATGGGTTTTGGTTGATTTATTTTAAATTTTGATTAGGTATTTGGGTTTTGGCTCTAGTCTCCCCTGATTGGTCTGTAATCTATATTTTTTAGTTTTGGCTTCTGGGTTTTTGAAATCTTGTCTCTGTTTTAGCTTTACCTATATCAGTACTGGGTTTTTATGTATTGAGTTCATTATTGAGTTTTTGAGGCTCAAAGTTTGTGTGTCTCAAGATTTGAGTTTATGTGATCCAACAACATACAAGAGTCTCGAGTTAGGTTTAAGTTGTTTAATTTCTAAGTTGCAGGGCTAGCTAGGGTTTGTGCTAATTGTTACTAGGGTTTAAGTTTCAAGAAGTTCTACATCAAGGCTTTAAGTGCCAATTGCGCCCTTGAGTTTGTGTGTGCACTACTTTTGGTTTAAGGTTTGAGGCTTGAGGTTCAAGGTACAATCCAGTCTTCAATTTGAGGCTTGGTTCTACCTTTCAAGCTCTATATCAAGTCTGCAAGTGCCAATTGCTACCTAGGGGTTGTGTGTGAACTACTTTTGTTTTGAGTTTTGATGTTCAAAGTACAATTCAGTCTTCAATTTTAGCTTTGTTCTAACTTCCAAGTTCTATATCAAGTCTGTTAAGTGCTAAGTTCTACCTAGGGTTTGTGTGTGCACTACTTTTGGTTTGAGTTTTGATGTTCAAGATACAATTCAGTCTTCAATTTTAGCTTTGTTCTAACTTCCAAGTTCTATATCAAGTTCTTTAATCCCCAAACTGAGAATGATCTCAATTTCAAAACTGAGAATGTTCTCAATTTATAATTATCAAAACTAAGAAATTTTTCAATTTTTTCCTAGTATGGACTGAAAATATTATCAAAACTAAAAAATTTATAATTATCAATTTTAAAATATTTCTCAATTTTTTTCATTATTAAAATTAAAAATATTATAAATTGAAAAGGTTCTCAATTTCAAACCACCGTCCTCCACACATATACATTATCTCACTATATTGCGTTCTTTGATTTTTTTTATATTTCACTTGTGTGTAGGGACACTGGTTAAAACTGAGTTGTAAGTTTTTTTTTGTTTTAATGTTTGTGAATAGAATATGTTTGGGGGAATAGAACATTCAAACTTCGGTAGTAATAATGTAGTGGGATTGTGACTGGATTCGCGAATAGGGTTTATCTCTAGGGTTTTCTGGATTGTCGACCCTGTACTGTACCCAACACAGCTTGCAATGAAAAATATTATAAATTCTAAATTTTTTATTAAATAAATAATTAAATATTTTATATAAATATGAGATTTACAAAATTACAGAACATATACTTATATGAAATATTTAATCAATAATAAAAAATTTAGTATCTTTAGGTGGTGTTTGGTAAATAAATTGGGCTAAATAATAAAAAAAATCATAAAATCATAAAAAGTTGTGGGAGATATATTTTCTGAATACCAACACGTGGCCTAAGTGATGTCGATGTGTCAGCTGAGGTGTCACATGTCCGTAGTCATGACGCCGAGGTGATCTCGGCAAAGCCGAGGTAATCTCCGAAGATATCGAAATCCGAGATAAACGGATAAGGGAGTCCTAAAATGACGAAGGACTTTGGCATAGATAAAGATAAAACTTTTAGGGAGTTTATCTTTATCTCTTGAAGAGTTCAGGATAAGCACTGAATAAGAATCCATTGAAGCTAGGCTTCTAGTGGGACAAGGATTGAGTTAATTATAAAAGAGAGACACCCTCATAGGTCTAAGGTACGCAATTTATATTCTGAATAGTGAGTTTAGCACTATTGATTATCTTTGAGAGATATACTGATTTGATTGTCGGAATGCTCCTAGGTGGACAATTCACCGTTGAAATCTTCTCTTGGGGACGAACCACCGTCGGAATCTTCTCTTTCTATTGCAGGTCAGCCAAATGTCATCTATTCTGTCAGTATTCTCCAGTTAATTACTGAGTTGGACAATATAATCAAAAAATCACTCACACAAAAGTCAAAAATTATAAAAAGACAAAAAAAATTCACTATACAAAATTAAAAAGTCAATAAAAATATCAAAGGAACAAAAAAATTTTAGACTAAAAAAATCAAAAAATTAACTAAAACATTGCCAAACGAAGTATTACCCGATTGCAACGGACTTCACAGGTAATTGACTTCTTACGCATAAAGCCAAAAACCCAAAGATAAGCACGTCTCTCAGATTTTTTCCACTTCACTTTTTCTTTCTCGTTCTTTGAAAATATCTGTCTATTTCTTGGTACTTTTGAAGCAGATTGCCTCTCGCTCTCTTTTACCATTGCCTTGGATTCGACAAACAGCTCTATTATTGAAGAAAAGCAGTTCCTTTATTGGACTCTGTGCATGTCTTTGATTAATTCTTGATGGGTTTTGGTTGATTTATTTTAAATATTGATTAGGTATTTGGGTTTTGGCTCTAGTCTCCCCTGATTGGTCTGTAATCTATATTTTTTAGTTTTGGCTTCTGGGTTTTTGAAATCTTGTCTCTGTTTTAGCTTTACCTATATCAGTACTGGGTTTTTATGTATTGAGTTCATTATTGAGTTTTTTAGGCTCAAAGTTTGCGTGTCTCAAGATTTGAGTTTATGTGATCCAACAACATACAAGAGTCTCGAGTTAGGTTTAAGTTGTTTAATTTCTAAGTTGCAGGGCTAGCTAGGGTTTGTGCTAATTGTTACTAGGGTTTAAGTTTCAAGAAGTTCTACATCAAGGCTTTAAGTGCCAATTGCGCCCTTGAGTTTGTGTGTGCACTACTTTTGGTTTAAGGTTTGAGGCTTGAGGTTCAAGGTACAATCCAGTCTTCAATTTGAGGCTTGGTTCTACCTTTCAAGCTCTATATCAAGTCTGCAAGTGCCAATTGCTACCTAGGGGTTGTGTGTGAACTACTTTTGTTTTGAGTTTTGATGTTCAAAGTACAATTCAGTCTTCAATTTTAGCTTTGTTCTAACTTCCAAGTTCTATATCAAGTCTGTTAAGTGCTAAGTTCTACCTAGGGTTTGTGTGTGCACTACTTTTGGTTTGAGTTTTGATGTTCAAGATACAATTCAGTCTTCAATTTTAGCTTTTGTTCTAACTTACAACTTCTACATCAAGTTTGTAAGTGCTAATTGCTACCCAGGGTTTGTGTACACTATTTTTTGTTTCAATTTTTGAGGTTCAAGGTTCGATTAGGTCTTCAATTTTAGCTTTTGTTCTGACTTCCAAGTTCTATATCAAGTCTGTAAGTGCTTATTGCTACCTAGGGTTTTGCTTTGTTTGCACTGGTTTGTTACAAGGCCTATTTTGCCCCTGTTGTTTGTGAACTCGTAATGGAATCTCATCAACCAAAAATGCTGTCAAACCCCACTGTTATTGCCGAGTCTCTGAAGCCAAAACCCAATTCCATAGTTCAGAACCCAGGTGATTTATCAAAGGAGTTTGGGGTTCACAGAAAGGAAAATGTGGTGGGAAAGCAAGAGGACTCTGTTGGGATTCTTGAGGTTTACATACACCAAGCAAGGGACATCCACAACATATGTATATACCACAAGCAAGATGTCTATGCCAAGATTTACTTGACTAGTGATCCTGAAACAGCAGTTTCGACCCAGATCATTAATGGTGGGGGGAAGAATCCGATCTTTAACCAGAGTCTTAGGCTTAGTGTTCGGACAATTGATTCTTCGCTGAAATGCGAGATATGGATGCTGAGTAGGGTTAGGAATTATCTTGAAGATCAGTTGTTGGGTTTTGCATTGGTGCCTCTTTCTGATGTTTTCACTGGGAATGGGAAGTTAGCCCAAGAATTTTCCCTCTCCTCCAGTGATCTGTTCCATTCTCCTGCTGGTTTTGTTCAATTGGCTCTCACCTACACTGGAGCTTCTCCTGAAGTTGTAGAAATCTCTACACCACGCTCCTCTACAGTTCTGAACCTTGCTAGGCAAGATTCAGAGGTCCCCATTTCTGATCCCAATGATCTTGATAAGATTGAGTTTCCAGATCCAAAGATTGTGAATGAGAATGAGATGATGGTTTCAGAGTATTTTGGGGTCCCATGTGACAATTTGGAGTCTGCAGGCACAGAGCAATTGGGCACGACAGATAATGGTGAACACCATAGTTCACAAGATGGTGTGGAAATCACGGAAGGCTTCTCAATGGGTGGTGGTCTTGACAATGTTGAAGTGTCAAAGGTTGAAACTCCGCCACGTAGTGTTTCAACTACTGCCTCTCCCTCGGTTTCGGTTCCAGCGAGCTCCCAATCGGCATCTGATACTTCAGGAGCTTCAAAACCTCTAAATCAAGATGCTGTTTCGGCTCTCAAGGAGAAAATAGAAGATTTTGGTGAGGCTGAGAGTGGTTCCTCTGCATTGTCAGCTAACAAGCTTTCACAGCCGGTTATTAATGTCAAAATGGAGCCTGAAAATAAGGTGGTGCAACAAGAGATTGTTGATATGTACATGAAAAGCATGCAGCAATTCACTGAATCACTGGCAAAGATGAAGCTTCCTTTGGACATTGACAATGAACCTACTGATTCAGGAGATACCACCTCGGATGAGAAAGTGCAAGCACCAAAGAACAATGGCCGAAGCCCAAGAGTGTTTTATGGAAGTAGAGCGTTCTTCTAAGCCGTCGTTTATTTGGTTCAACAGACAACGAGGTGACTTGCAGTTTATAATCCCAGCTCTAATTGTAATAGTGCGTAGTGAGTCGAGTAAGTAATGAAGTGTCTGACTCTGAATGTGTAATGTGGATGGTCTAGCACTCTTCTAGGTGACAGGTAAGCGTGTTTTGTGTGTTTCAACATGTTTTGTGTGTTTCAAGCTTTGTTGTACTTTACCCGATGTCAGTTTTTTAATGCAAGTACTCTATCTTTTCCCTTATCTAGTCCTCTCTGCATTCCACTGAATATATTTGTGTAAGTCGGCATTGATTATCTTTCCGTGTCATTTCAATTCAACTATCCTAGAGTTAAAGTTCGATTGCATAATTGTGCTATTAGAATTTTTTCGTACTTTCATATGGAAAATCAATTGAATTCAACAAGCTTATATGCCTACAATGATTCAAAAACCCGGCCAGTTCATACTGGTTTTTGACCATTCTGGTTTAGATACATCTCAATTTACCATTGAGATCCAAAAGGGCAAACAAAGGGGCCGGTTCGTGATACATGTTTATCTAAACTGGAATTTGATAGTTGGTTCACTGGCAAACTGGTCTGGGCATACGTGTTCCCCCATGTGTTCAAATCTAAATTTTTTAAAAAAAATAATAAGAGGCATTTGGACATGGCAGCCTATTTTCTTCTTGTCCATATATGCTTTAATATCCAAAATCACAACTTTTTCCCTATGCCAAAGCAAAACTTAACCATGCCAAATAAGCATGTAACTTTCTTTGCCCTAAGATTTTGCTTGCTTCCTACTTACTTGCCTCATCCTCTACTTTGTGGCAGTTGCTGCCCTCATCATAAACCTGGCAGCTTGTGTCTCGTACTCCACATCTTGGTCAAAAGTGAAAACTCAACTGGATGGTGACTTTGATGCTTAACATTATTCTCCTCATCTGGGCTCATAAATGGAATCCTACCTGGGAGTGAGATGGTGAATTCAGATATCAATTTGATTTTGCTTGGCCCTTGGGAATATACTTATTTTCTTACTCCATTGTTCTGTTCCTAACATCACTGACAGATAAATCATGATATGTCCGATGTGAGTAAGTTACTACATAAGTAAATTTGTAGATATAGATATATACATCTTGATGTATGCTAGTAAATGTGTAACCAACAAGAAAAGATGTCTGTTGGAGTCTACTATCTTCAAACTTAATCTGTCAAATTCCTATTAAAACAAGAAATTGCAATCTTATCTATGCTTCATTTTCCACCGTACATTTGTGGAACAGAAATTGAGATGAATAGAGATGGCCATTAAACATCTTGAAGCAAAAGTAAGGGAAGTATAGGATAAGTCATATACCTGTGAAGGCTGTGACTGAGGAACTGAATGTGGAAAATGAAATGCATCGATCTTCATAAGACAGTTTTGCATTATTGACTATCTTTGTGTCATTTCTCTCCCTTCTCAAGATTGAATGTTGGCCACCAATCATTGATCACCTTAGCACTGATGATCAAAATCTCACTCTCTACTTCCTGCAAAAATTTCTTTAAATCTCTGCTGCTAGCATTCTTCTATATCAAGCCCTAAATTCTAAAATCTCATGAATTAGTTTGGCCAACCATTTTCAGAAGCATCATCAAATTTCAATATCAGAATCGTAACAAGTACTTTTTCTTTGTGACAATGGGCATTTAGAAACATCCAAAACAAAAGGTGGGGTATGCATGATTCCAATTGTTTTATTTGCTTTGTTGCATTTGGTTTAGGCAGGGTATGGATTTGTAAAATGTGTTTTGCCTGCAAACTAGTAAATCCATGTTGACATTATAAGTTCGCAGCTTCCAAACATCGGAAAAGGATCAACAATTTTCTTACCTTCATGCATTTGCTGATAGGAGAGTACAACTAATTGATGCATGATCTTGCCTAAACCACTATATCCACCAGTGAACACCGGTAACTGCCTTCTAGTTGCAGCTTTCCATTGCTGCACCAAATCTCATTGATTCATAGGAGTTGTGGGCAATCACTATTCATTTCAAACTCAGACAAATTTGCATGAACTCCTTACATGTAAGTTGGCTCAGATTCTGCTATTCGAAATGCATTGGAATGCTTGCAATCCTTGTCATTTGAACTGAATTCCCATCAATCCGAGCATACCTGTATGCTAAATTCTTTCACCTCAGTGCAGAAGCAACCCAGGAAAGACCCTGACATACCAGTCCTATAACTTCTTTTTGGTTCTTGGATTCACTTTGAAGCTGTCTCTCCATCGTCTGCTCTGCCAAACATGGGTAGTACATAGATTCTTTCGTCACTGGCTCTGTTAACTTGGTTTTTGATTTGCAGGTTAGAGGTTACTTCATTCATCTTGTTAGTACAGAACTACAGAACGCGCCCGGTGTCTGCAAATCCAAGGTGCTCAAGAGTTTTGGCAATTGGTAATGCAAGTGTTTGGTAATTGAGGAGTTTTAGTTCCTGAAATTACTAATGTTATCTTAGTGACATTTTCGATTTGGTTTCACAAAGGGTAGAGGAAAGAAGGCTTGTAAAAAGGTGAGTGCTATTCAATGGCATAAAGGAACAGCTACCTGAATAGTAAAATTTAACAATCATGTCTCTCAAAACACAATAATCAGTGCATTTTTTTTGACATTTTTTACTTTCTTCCAAACAAAAAAGTTCCTAGAAAATGAAATTTTGAGGTTGCTCCATTGGCAGGCATCCTTTTTCGGCGTGCGATAACATCTGTGGACACTTTCAGAAACAGGATTTCAAAATGCACAGGTTGGTGGGTTGTTGCTCACACCATTAGGTTTTCCTATTAGTTATTTGTTGCTTACAAAAAGTGTGAGCCTAAAAGATTACAGTCTGTAAAGCTGAGATGCATTGATCAGAGTCAACATAGAAACCAAAAGGTTGGAAAGGCAATGTTCCATCCCACTTTTGACTTTCCAACTTTTGGACAAAGATAAGTTGCAGTTTCTTCTCACCATTAACTGATTCATTTCAAATAATTCCTTAGTAGTCTCGGAATAACAATTCAATAGGCTGATATGATGCTCCCGAACCAATAAAAGCAGTAATCACAAATAGGATTGCAAATGAGTTGAATTAAGCCAAACTTTACAATGCTCTAGCTTGGCTCATTTGTTTATCGAGTTCAAAAATCAAACTCAAGCTAAGCTCAACTCATTAATACTAATCATTTCATGCTCAAGCTCAAGTTTGATAATGAAGAAAAAGTTCAACTTGATAATCATGTTCGGACAGCTCGTTAAATATTATTTTATATTACAATATGTATATATAACTAATTTTATATGATTTAATATATAAATAACATTTTTCATTATTCTAATTCAAACTTGGCTTATTTATTAAACGAGACCAAAAATATAGCTCGAGCTTGTTTATATACATAATGAACTGAGCTTGTGAACAACTTGGTCAATTTGCAGTCTTAGTCACGTAATGAGTAGAGTCAACCTGATTCATGTTGATCAATTGAGTAAAAAACAAGGTTGGCCACCCTCCCTCATTGATCTAAAATATCACTTACACATACCATTTCAATACTCTGAACTATCAAATAATTTCCCATTTCTTTTTGCATTAGGAAGACGAAAGAATCAAATAAAGTAGAAACGGGCAAATGGATGGAGCATGTACAAAGGTCCCTATTGAAGGTGTCCCTATCATGTTTGTAAAACAAACCCTAAGAGAGGGAAAACTGTGGTTTCTCATGCTCGCTTCAATCACTACAAGCTTTGCCTGGTCTCCCTCCCCCCTTCAGGCATGCTTTCAGAGAGAGACAGAGAGAGAAGAAATCATAATAACCTCCATAATCACACAATTTTAAGTTTTCTTTCTCATCATTGCTATATTCAAATTTAGATGCCCTCCATGATCAAAATAAAAAGGTTGCAACACATCACTAAAAAAGTAAGAAAATCACCAATCTACAAATGTAACTGTTTAAATTTGAAATAAAGATATGATCACTGAAGTAAGAAAATCAAGGATCTACAATTGTGATTGTATTTAAATTTGAAATAAAGATATAATCAGAGTTTGCAGAATGATTTTGGTCATTGAACAAATTGAAATCCTCAAAAATGAGAGTTATTGAAAAGTACAAGATACACTACCCGTTCACTCCAGCTCACAATCCAGCTTCAGTCTTGTTTTGAAAAACAGAGAGAGAGCATTCAGATTGTGTTGATGACACGGAATCGGCCGATAATGATAATAATAAACAGACAATTTAATTGATGGGGACTTCAAACCCATAATAGATGCAATTTATAATGTTGAGACTAACCAATCAAGAACAGTCAAAATGAGCTGCTGAACTAGTAAGAGGAACATATGAGGCTGATGGTCTTTAACGCAACCAAAAAGAAAAAAAGAAGCATAATGTCAACTATTCGATGAACATTATGTTTCACACATGCCAAACATCAACATATAACAAAAAAAAGTTCCAATGGAAAAAAGAATCAGAATGTGGCAACTTATTCACGGGGACCCTAGATGGGTATCCCTCAAATGTTTCACATTAGTAAATCACAACAACCTCTGGTTACAATCCAAGGGAAAACAAAAACAAAACCCGATCAAGGGAACAACAAAAACAAGGATTACCTGATACGCACGGGCCTGCAACTTTGCAGAAAACATTAAAACTAAAATTAAATCCAAAATCGAGTGTCTATCTTTCTTTCTTCTTTTCTTGTTTCTTTTGTTCTTTTTTGATGTATCGGTTGCCTCACCAGAGATGCATGATACATTTCTGACTATATGCCGCAATCTGATCTTACGTCTCACTCAAATACCAAAAAAGAAACCCTAAATTGATAAAACACAAAACTCAACACTTAAAAACACAAAATATCTTGTAACTTCTTCTATCTCTAAACTTAATTCTTCAAAACAGGCACTCCGGTTAGCACTAGATAAGGTAACGAATTTCCTTTTAACTTTTTTAACTGATATATTCACTGAGGGAGTGTGCAAAATTCACAATTCACCAGCTACACCAAATTTCTTCACCTACTAAAACATACTGATATCTGGTATACTCCTAGCCAGCAATTCCTGCAACAAGCCAAAACAAAGAAAAAGCAAGTATTAGGAGGTATATTAGTAAGTGCAAGGTATTATGTTTCAAAAAGAAATGGTCTGATTGTAGTATTCCGTCAATAGACAAACAGCTTTCACTTGGCTACAAATAGAAATAGTATAACTGCATTCCAAAAAAAAAACTGTAAGGAACTTGGGTTTGTAGTCTAGGCCGCCTCTAACATGAATTCAAGTTCAATTGGCAAAATGAATAATCAGCTGAAACTCTTACGCAGAAGAGTGATTTCATAATGAAAATAAAGCCTTAGAGAATATACACATCTGCCATTTTAAAACAAATGCTAATAACACACATAACACACTAACCCATAACTATATTAGATAAAACTTAGAACTAATATAATAGCAAGCAACACACGATTCACAAGGAATGCTGAATTATGAATGTCAACCTCCCACATGTGCCATAGGAGAAGGCTCTTTAGGTGTACTAAAGATGCCAAGAAGCATAATATCCTGAAAGTAAACCACAAGTTTTCAGCACTACATGTAGTTGTGAAGTCCCTTTGAAGTTGAAGGTTAAAGCACACCTACTCAACTTATACAACTTAATACCATTTGACGGTTTAAGAAATAGGTACAAGAGAACTTTTTTATGTAATTTTTACATTAGTAAAGTTCATAATCACAGTGAGGCAAACTAAACTTTCATAATTCATATCAATAGTAGCAATCCAGTATAATGACAATTATGAAGTCTTATTTCAAACTCGACTAGGAGTTTAAAAGCTTTTCCCATAGTGAGGGACCTTCGTGATTGTCATTAATGGAAATCGGACCAACTGTTAAAAAACATTTCTACTTGAGTCAACCTTAAAAGATCTATTATCAATAATAGTTTATAAGTTAATCTAGAAAGTATCTCTATTTATACCAAAATGCAAGTCATTAGTTAACAAGTAATACTACTAAACAAAAAGAACTCTGGTTATAAAAGCTCATGCATGCTCCATCTTAGCATTATTGACAAAGTTAATAGTCAAATTTACAACCACTAGGTTTTAAAGTGATTCCTGTTGTTCACAAAAATGAGAAAAGCAATATATATAAATAAAAATATTATACAGAACTAATTTGGTCCTATCACCATAAAAAGTGAAAACCCAGATGACTTATGATCAAACTAATGCCACTGTCACATCATTTTGGATAAAAATTATGTATAAAATTTCTCTGTTTAAAAATTTTGCTAGTGACAGTCACCAGGGTGGTTCGTAATTTTAAAATGCCACTACTACATCATGCTGGATGAGAATTTTCTTTTCTTATAAGCATTTTGTATGAATTTCTCTACATCTAGAACTTTCATAGTGAAAATTACTCCAAGATACATAAGACTTACACCAAGAGCTTATCCGTTTGCCCCCTCCCCTAGGGAAATCAAAATAAAAAATTCAATTGCTTTGTATTTGTCTATTGATATATATTTTGCAAACTTTTAAGAACGTGTTTCATCACTAAGACCTATGAAAGAAAGTTTTCCTGGGAAAACCAATCCTCCTATGCAACCTAAGTACCTAACCTAACGAAACTAAACCAAATTAAGCCTTGTGTCTCAACTCAATCAAGTAGGATTGGCTTCATGAATCATTTTTCTCCATGTTGCTTTGTCCAGAGTTATATACTCTGCAAAATTAAATAAATTCATATCATTTTTACTACAGTATCCCATATTAGTTTTAGATCTTTCCTTCCTAACTCAATGTTCTTACTTATTTTTCCCATTCAAACCACCAAAGTATCCCGCAATAGAGTTGAAAACACCAGCTATCACATCAAGCTAACAAAAAGACTAAATCTAGAAAGAAAAACTATTGTTTGAAAGACTAGACTATGACTGAGCCAAGTAACCTACCAGCAATGTCTCAAAATGGTTTTTACCAGAAACTTGGATTGAGCATGCCTTCACCAGGCTCAGAGTGAAGGTGTCAATGAATATGAAGGGTGGGACACCCCTTGTGTAGCCCACTACCAAATCTTACTGCCTCAACAGTCAATACACGTGTGCAGACATGCACACAGAGAAAGAGAAGCGCAGTGGTACATAACGTATGTCCCGTTAGCTCCTCTACTCTAGTGTCAAAAATTAAAATTTGAATTGTTAATGACAAGGCCAATCATGAGCCTATACTTGGTGGTTTAAATTGTATTGCAAATTTGGAAGGCAAACAATAACAAAAACAACAATAATAAGACAAACATATTCACCATAGAGCCTAAGGGGCAACTTATAGGGTAAATAAGGCCAATATTAAATAGAAAGAGACTCCATTTTAGTATGCTTGGTTGACTGACCAAAAAACAAGGAAGCATTGATTCAATATCCTTATTTGTCTTTCATTTTTTGTTTTGTAAGGCAACCCATACCAAGAATGGGCATAGCTCCAAGACAAGAGTCAAAGCCTCATAAGGCCAATTTGAATACAATTTTGTCCAGCATAACATGACTAACTTAGACACATAGAAGTGCAGGTAGACGCAAGGATGTTTAAAAGCAGATTCCCAAAATAAAGCCTACTAGATAACATATGACCATACCATCCTTAAACCATGTGCCTATATAACCAAATGTCTCCATGCACACATGGTCATTTCTACCAAATGTCCTGTATGGAAATTGTTTTCTTGTTTCCAATCACCTATTTTTTCTGCACCTCAACCATGAGGTTCACAACAGTTTCTAGTGGCTGTTCTCATCACCTAAAATAAAGAAGACCAGCAAAACCATGGTGATAGCATACCAATGAAACTACATCCTAAAACATAGTTCTTTTGGGTTGAAAAGTTCACCACAAATTCGACTCTAAAGTGAAAATTTTAGATCATCAGGACTATCAGATGAAGCTGATATTTGCTCCCCTGAGTATGAATTTAAGTTTTAACCACTCTTTTTAAGGCTTTATAAGCATTACCACACCCAACAAGTGCAAAAGGAGGACTCTAAATCGTCTTGCACACTATTAAACAGGTCCTCTAATAATTATTTACTTAAAAAGTTGATTTATCAAGTTTAGGGAATATCTATTGTGTAAATACACATATTTTGCCATGTAAACTAAAATTCTGCAATTGGTAATATATAACTCAATATTAAGATCAAGATTGAGATTGAGATTGAGATTGAGATTGGCCCTTACCTCTATTTGTCTGTCTCTTAGTAACACTATAACCACCAACATAACTGGGAGAACTTTTTGCAGGAACATCGGATGCTCCATTGCCAAATCCATAACCAAATGAACCAGTTCCTTCTCTCTCAGAGTTCGTCGAACGCCAAGTGGGGTCCCCATACACCGAACTACCACCATAAAAGTCTGCAAAAGCCCCATCATAACCACCATTTGATGTAGCGTAAGATGATGAGGGGGGTCCACTAGTTGCAGTATTTCTTCCATACCCTCCCCCTCCCAAACCATAGCTGTTATCACCACCTCCATAACCAAGATTCCCGCCATGACTAGATACATTACCCCCACCTTGAGGTGAAATTGGAGAAGACCCCCAATTAACTCCACTGTTGGTAAAGGTGCCCCCAATGCTTCCACTTCCAGACCCCACATAGGCACTCGGACTTGTTGAGTTTGTTCCATAATTGAGCCCTCCATTCCCCCACAAATTCCCAGTCCTTGAGCTAAAAAAGGAAGTGTTTCCTCCATTCCCTCCTCCATCATACCCAACAGGATTACCAAACCTATTCGTATTACCAATATAATAAGGGTTCAACCCCCGTCCATAGCTGAGAGTATTATTCAAATTTGCACTTCCCCCAAAATTTGGGTTCAGTCCTGGTTCAAAGTTCAAACCCATTCCATAACCAGAAGCAAATGGAGCATACCCACTTCGACCACCAGTGATTGGACTGAATGATCTACCATCCATTCTAAGACCATACCCTCCAACTGTACTTGGAGAGTAGCCTTGAGCGTAATCATTGAGAAAGTTATTGATCCTAGTCACACCATAGTTATATCCACCAAGTGGAGTTCGGCTAGGACCTGGTGACAACTCTTTGGGGACTGCACGCTTGACCTCAACCATTTTACCATTCAGCTCATGGAACGTTTTCAGCAACACTTTGTCCACCGCATCCTCTGAATCATAGGTGATGAATCCAAAGCCTCTTGGTCTCTGAGTGTTGTGATCATACATCACCACGACATCGGTGATGGTCCCAAACTGCTCAAAATACTTCTTAAAGTCAGCCTCTGTGACTGTGGAAGCTAAACCTCCAACAAATATCTTTCTTGTGCGTCCTGGACCTGGAGAGCCCTGAATGCTACTACTGCTTCTACTCAATGTGTTCTGGTCATCCCTTGGAACAGCCTTTTTAGCCTCAACCTGAAGATCAATAAACCAGTGATGAATAGCCGAATCAAAGACTATTTGATCTCAAAACAATACAATAAACCTAAACATGGCAAACATAATCTAATGTGATAGAAGTGCAGCTGAAAAAAGAACAGAAGGCAATAATTACTTTAAACTCAAATTGAGATTAATTGCCTACATTATCAAAATAAACCAAACTTCACAATGTTTTCTTATTGAGTACAATGCAAAGAGTTAACTAAAAAATAAATCGATTTATATTGACTTGGGCACTTACCATCCTACCGTCGATGTTGTGTTTCTCCTTAATGACTCTCTCTGCCACTACAGGGTCAGCAAAGACAACAAAACCAAAACCACGGGCACGCCCTGTGCTCCGATCCTTCATAATTACAGCTTCCAAAACTTCCCCATAAACACTAAAATACTCCTTCAAACGTTCTTCATTTGTGTCCCAAGAAATTCCACCAATAAATAACTTTCCGAGATCGGATTGCATTTTCCTACACCAAAACAGTTACTTCATCCAAACAAGTTCTGAATTCTACAAAATGTAAATCAATTGGTATACAATCACCCAATTATATCTTAATCTATGATATATAATGCTACTGAAATTGAAAGACCCATCAAAATTCACACTTTCACCAATCCAAGGTACCAATACGAGCTCTTCAAAGACAAATGCAGATAAAAAACCAATCAAACAACAATAATCATATACCTTAGTTGAGAGAATTACAGGAAACCCAAAACAGTATGTCTGATAATACCACTTGGATTTCCTCGGATTCAATCGAAAAACATCGGATCCTTCGACGATCAATCCAGACACAATTCAACACACCTGAGAAAAACAAAAGTTCGAAATCAATCCCAGAAACACTTACTAAAGATCAAAACCAACCTCAACGAATTGGCACAAAAAAATCAATACCCAAATCGAGATTTCGACGAAACCAAACCGATTAGTGAAAACCCAGATTTAAAAAAAAAAAAAAAACTAAGATCTAACAGGAGGCACTGTGAGAACTGAGGGCATGTTCTTCCTCCTCAATATAGCCCCCTATTTTTTTTTCTCTCTCTCTCTCCTTGTTCTTCCAAATTCTTCTACTTTCGATAGCAAAACACGTAAATTTACATATACCAAACAGATGGAAATGGGAAGATGTGTAAGAGACAGATGGTACAATATATATATATATATATAATTCTTTTTTTTATAAAAAAAAAAAAATTTTGAAGAATATGGAAAAATTGAGTTGTAGTGAGAGGAAGAGAGAGAAAGAAAGAGAAAATGCAAAGGGGTTTGTTCGATCTGAGATAAATAGAAGGATTGCTTGTCCTCCCATTCTTGGCTTATATACATATTGGGAAAATCCATCATATATTCGTTTTTGAACTCCATGTATGTGCGTGCATGCATGCATGTCCCTGATTGTAACAATCTCAGCCGTCGATTTCTAGAATTGGGTTTGGTTTTCTTTATGGAATCTGTTGGTGGCTTCGATGGACGCTTGTGGTCCCTTGATTTTGTTGACTTTGTGTTCTTGTCTTGAGATCAATGGCCAGTTGTATGATTAACAGGCCTGGCCCATGGTATGTAATTTTAGAATATGCTTGATTTTGAATCATTATTTAACGTATCTCTTCAAAAAAAATAAAAAATAAAAAAGCTTATTCAACCTTATATTAAATTTTTAAATCAACAACAAAACAAAAAAAAAAACTAATGGTTGAAATAAAAATATAAAATTTGAGAGGTGAAATTATTTGAAATAAATTTAATTATGACCTCAATAAAAATAAATAAATTTTCGAATGCTGCTAGAAGAGTAAAACAACTTAGGTGATGTTTGGCAAGTGATTTTGGGGTTAAAATAGCCACAAAAAATAAAATAGGCTATTTTAGCCATAACAAACAAAACATCACATTCAACCCATAATCATTACACTCGTCTCTAAAAAAAAAAGTCAAAAAAGTCAAAAAGTCGAAAAAACCCTTCCCAAACCAAGCTTTTTAACTCAGGCTAAAATAGCAAAAAAAGTCAAAAAGTCAAAAAGCCAACCCATTTCCCAAACGAAGGCTTAGGTAATTTAACCTATATCTTTACTGTACAATTTGTTGGCTTGGTTTGGGAAGTGGGTTGACTTTTTGACTTTTTGGCTTTTTTGGTTATTTTAGCCTTGGCTAAAAAACTTAATTTGGGAAGGATTTTTTGGTTTTTTTGACTTTTTTGTGAGAAAATAGTGTAATGATTATGGGTTGGATGTGATGATACTAAAATATCCTATTTTGTCTTTTATGGCTAAAATAGCCAAAAAAACCTCAAATCTTGCTTCCCAAACGGTGCCGTTGTTTGGTTGTTTGCTTGACTGTTTAGAATTTTGTTGTTTTTGTTTTTATCTATATGTTGTTTGTTTTATGGATAAATTACACTTACATCTCCTAAGATTTAGATTTAATACATATCACTCTCTGACAATTGAAAAATTACACTAATCTCTCGTCATTATAATTATTTAGACGGAATTAATGTTGGTATTAAAAAGACATTGAATTCATACACTCTCTCTTTTCTTACTTTGCTTACTTCTTCTTTTTTCTTTTTTTCTTTACTTTGCTTTATTTATTTTTTCAATATAATTTTTTCTATTTTTCTACCAAGAGTTGTTGCCTTTTATATAAGTAAGAGATTTGTGAAATGAAACTGTTAACCACATGGATAAGAATGTAATTTCTATAATGTCAGGAGGTGGGATATAATCGAACCAAATCTCAAGGAGTATCGGTGTAATTTACCGTTATTTTATTTTAATATAGTTGCTTTTCATATTTCTCAAATATATATATATATATATATAAAAATCATCAATCAACTCTTAGAGTAAATTGTGTTGGAAAAATAATGATTTTTTTGTGACTTTAATGCAATATTAAAATGGATGTCAATTCTCAATTGAGGTAGAGTAAAGTGGGTTTAGATTCTTTGTAATGAGATATTTACATCACAAAAAGAATGATCAAAAACCATTTAAGGTTTGAATGAAAATTGATTCATTAAGTTGGCCTCATGAAAGAATGTTGGGAAATGTGTAAAACCCAGTATCCTACATTGATTGTAGAAGAGAGCATTAATGGGTATTTAAATCTCATTTTTTGCATAAGGGTGTAAGCTCTTTGGGACATCTAAATTTTTCAAAGGAAGGAAGTTATGGATGCTTCAAATATGGACTTGGGCCAAGACTATGGTTCAAGTTGGTTATGCAAAAATTGCCACTCGCCCGCCTGGACCAGACCAGGCAGGATCCCGGTTCGTGATCTGTGGGCCGTGGACCTTGGGGCTTGGGCTTTAGCTTTAGCTTGCTGAAATGGATCGAGTGTGGAGGTTGGGCCTAGTCCATCCATCTTAATCTTTTTGGACTACAGAAATATATACATAAAACCTAGTCTCCTCTATTGATGATGGAATTAAACCCATCGATTTTGCAAAATTAATTCGTACATTTGTTGTAAGGAAGCCTCGTTCTCTCTCTCTCCATGTGTACAAAAGGAAGCCCTCTCATTCAGCTTTCTATACCAGAAAGTGCTGCTACTTCAACCTTCAAAAGTTTTCCAGTTTTATTTCTTTTTCTTTCGGTGAGAGAGTGTTGTAAGGTTCTGTTTGCTGAAACTATTCAGTCAGTGCATTGCATAGCTGGTCCAACCGTCGTATCTTGGGAGATAAACGTCGAACAACCTCCAGCACCCAACTGGCGAGGCGATGAATCTGTTTTAAGAACACTGTCGAGTGCATACTTCAGTTTGCTTTCTTTTGCTAGTTTTATTTTAGTATGAATTTCTATAAATTCAAGAATGTTCTTATTCTAAAATTCAATTTGTTTGTTCAATATGAATCTATTTGTTTTATATTATCATACAATTTATACAACAAATTGTTCGGCTGTGTATATTACAAATTTTAAATAAAATTATAATATTTACAATTGGTCTCAATTAGATTTTTCAACTTATGTCCCAAATAAATTTGAGTCGCCTCCGTCCTAGATACACCATGATCAAAAAAATATATATATATATTATGAATGAAATTTTTTATTTGAAAACAAGGGATAAAATATATGAAAAGTAAATGAAGTGAAAGAAATTTTTTTTTTTTATTCGTTAGAAAAATAAGATCCTGAATAAATATTTGTGAAAAAATAATGTTTTTTTAATTACACATAAGAAATTAATATGTGACAAATCTAATATTTTGAACATAACATATTAGTTTATTTTGTAAAAAGATTTGTGTTTTTCAAATACATACGTGTGTATCAATGTAAAAACAACAACAACAAAAATTCTCCTAACAATGTGATTAAAATTTTTTACTCACACTATCTTAAAAATAGGTTTCTATCCATATAGAATCAACGCATACATGATTATAAAAAATAAAAGTAAGATAATGTAAGTCGGAGATCCTTTTCAATGGTAATTTTTTTGTTCATCTGTATCAGTAAAATTACTTTAAAAAATACACTAAATAAATAAATAAATAACTTAAAAAACAAACATGTGTATGAAACAAGGCACACTAATTTTAGTTCACCATGATATTTGACATTTTGGAGTTTATGTTCAACACTAGAGGGTGACAAGCTAACAAACAGAAAAGGTATTAAATAAGATTTCCAAGTTATAGTTGATTAAGCTTATTTTTGTCGATGATAAGTGTAAAAATACTCCAGATTTTTTTTCCTCTAATGGTAACACTTCTAATCGGATATTAAGATTCAAAATCTTTTTTAAAAAGAAAAAAAGGTAACAAAATTGTGGCGGATTGTTCACTACCAAGAACATGCCACATGTGTAATTAGGTCTATCGAGTTTAGAAAATAAACATGCAAATTATTCCCTTTAATTCCTTTTCTTAAATCTTTGTACTTGCACATGGCATAAAGGTTGCATTTGTTTGATTTCTTTAGGTATCTCAATACTTTATTTTGCAGTTTATTAACCTTACTTGATTAATTCAATTTTATATTCATTAGTAAATAAATTATTATTTTTTATGGTTACACATAATTGAGTTGAAGAGATGAATTGACAAATCAACATAAATTAATTGAAATCAGTCATTATAAGAGCCAAAAAAATTAAACGAGAAAACAAAATCAATTTTAATTTTATACAAAGTAGATATGTCACAAACAAAATTGTACACATTGTTATGCTTCAAACACATGGAAGATAAAAATTAAAAAAAAAATTAAAATAATATTTTTCATTTATTGAATTTTACTCTTTTTATATTTCATTTAGATTCGTACATCTTTGTTTTTTTTAGTATCTATATAATGAGTTTTATATGTACATGAAAATGACAAAAACTATGTTTCCACTAGATCTTATAATATTAACAAGAACGTTTATACCCAACAAAATTATTTATTACTAGTTTTTTTTATATTTATTTTCTTGCTAATTTACAAAAGAGGATTAATTGGATACATTTCTATGTTAGGTCATAACAAATATAACATCATGCATGACAAGAAATTAAATAACCCTATTAAAGACGAGTTTTTTTTTTTTTAATATTCTACAAAAAAAAAATTATTTAAAGAATTGACTCACTTTTCAAATTATTTGGAAAACTAACCTATTTTTGAAATCACATTTTAAAAATGTGAATTTAAAATTGAAATTACATTTTCAACAAGTAATTTCACCTTAAAATCGTATGTTTGAAATTGCATGCTGAACATGCAATTTCACAATGTCATCATCAATTGCATTTTTAACCTGCAATTTCAAAGTAAAATTGCATGTTGAAAATGTAATTTCAATTTCAAAATCGCATTTTTAAAATACGATTTCAAAAAATATGTTAGTTTTTCAAATAATTTGAAAAGTGGATCAATTTTCTAAATAATTTTTTTTTTAAGAATATTTTAAAAAAAGAACTCTATTAAAGACACCAACAAACTTATTAATTAGATACAATATAAGATTTATGTTATGGTCTATACATACATTAATATTTATAATATTACTGCACAATAAAATCAACCAATAAGAATTGGGTGCACGCTGCAAATTATGTTGTGGGAAATTTGAGAAAAAAAAAAAAAAACATTGTCAAATTTGGGAGTTAAGAACATAAAATGAGGGGGTAAATCAGCATCTTTCTTCGTGCTTCCCACGAAAGGTACTTTGCTCTTTCAACTCTTTCCACTAGGCAGCTGGCTGTCTGTCTGTCTGTCTTTTCTCTCTCTCTCATCTTCTTTATTTCTTTTTCTTCAAATATATATTGT